TCCTGATTTATATTGGTCATAATTTGAGACCTAGTATCTCATCCTGACCTGTAACGTTTGTTCATGTGATAGAAGAGAACATTTTTTCTACTTAAGAAGTCTCAATCAGAATTTGACTCTTACTATGTAAGTGACGTGGTTGAATAAAGCAATGCTGAAGAAATTTTTTCCCCACCCTTCAGAATACAGTACTCTTTTTGAAAAGAGTTTTAGTGCTCCCAAGCTATTTCTTTGCCAGTGTCTTCCATGAACTGAGGGACTTGACATCCTTTGAAACTTTGGAAGCAGAGCAGTGACTATAGTTAGTTGCTTTGGTACAATTTATTATAACATCTTGAAGTAAGTTTAGGGTTTGTCATAATTTTTAGTTCGTTTTTGATGCCTTTATTTTAGGAAGGAAGTGCAGATAAAATCTTATACTCTGCTACACTTAGAACTATTTCAGTCTGTTTTTCTGTGGCTCACCTGTGTGGGTTCTCTGGTGACTAATAGTGTGGTTGAACACACACTTCTTTATTAAGTACACTTCTTTAGTAAGAGTACTAAATTGGGTTTCTGTCCTTCATGCCATCAATTTTATTTGCACAAAACCCCTAGGCATGCAATATATTTGAAATATAGAAATCTTTGTCAAGTTTTGCTGAAAAGGAAATATTCTAAGGTTGTTGAAAGACTTGGATATTGTTTTTAAAAAAAAAAAAAAAAAAAAGGCAAGCTTAAAAAAACCGGTATAAGTAAATCCTTTTTTTTGTAACACTTAATTTGTTGAGCTTTTTGTTTTAAATCCACTTGAATGAAGTGTCCAGAGAAGTTATTTTAATGTAGCTGCAGCTATTTACTTCAAATTGAAATTACCTGAAGAAGAGAAAGAAGGGTTTGGTTTTATTTTGGAAAAAAGGCAGTTTACCTGTCAGGATATCAGCAAATACAAAGATATTAAGCAAATCATTGTTCCAGTTAACACAATTAATAACATAATACAATATATTTTAACATAAAAACCTGTAACTTTTGGGTTTGGGAAAAAGAAGTGAATTACTAACTGATCCTCAGCTCTACTACCTTACGTATGTTTGGAAAGAAAAGCTACCATGTTATCACAGGACACACATTTTCAAAACTTACCACTGTCTCTTACAGCTTGGCTTCAGGTTTTTCCCTAGTTAGCTAATCAAGGCTGATAAAGAGTTGGAAATAGATTCTTGGTTTATTGTGGCCTGTTTTTTCTAATCCTACTTATCTTTCATTCACACACTTGTATACTTGACAGATCTTAATGAAATGCTTCTTTTGAACTCAAGAGATACTATTCTATGAAAATTATCAGAACAGAGATGAATCCATTATCCATAAAAGACATTTTTTACCACTTTGATCTCTGACAGTTTGGCTTTAAGCCTGGTCACCATACACTGGCTTTCATTTTACGTTCAGTTTATGTCTGGCTTTTGTTCCAAACTAACAGATAAAGCTTGAGTGCTATTCAGTCTGAAAAATTTCAGACTGTTTATGCTAGCAGGTGACGTATGACATGATATTGGCAGAGATGTGCAATCTGAGTGCTGGGAGAACTCAGTTGTTTCAGTTTATTGATCTGGAATTTGTGTTCTCCTGTGCCGCTTCATTATTTCGCAGGTCTCTGAAGCAAAGTTGCTTGACTGCTATGGAGGACTATCTCTGCAGTGAATAAGGTTATAGCGTTGTTTAATTTTTGACATCTTGTGACTGTAGAGGTGCCCTGGTTAAAAGTCCTGAAGAGAGCTGTGTGGTTTGGGCTGGTGGGTCGGCTTCCCTGGGCTTCTGATCGGGCTGGGAAGATCCTGCTTGTGTGTCTCTGACCCCGTGAGCAGCCACTTCACTGCTCCACTGCCTGGGACGTGCACAGAGCTTAAACTTGCCCTTCCTTCTCACGGCTTGAAATGTAAATGCATTTTCTTTATATATAATTACAGATTAATTGAATTTTAATTTTTTTTTTCTTTTAAAAACCGGTATTCTAAAGGTCACTTTTGAATATCTAGTTAAAATGGAATATATAGAGAGCCTGGAAAGCGGCTTGTTTCTTAGGGGTGTTGGTTTTGGGGTTTTGTTTGGGGTTTTTTTTTTTCATTGTTTTTGTTGGGTTTTTTACATTTTATTGCACATTGAGTGTGGTACACTGAACTGTGACTGACCAAGATTTTGTTTTGGAGTGTAAGAAAGCCTGATATATTTTTGACACTTGAAAAAATCTGTCAATGCATTTTTTCCTAGATCTTGATGTTTCAGTCTGCGTCCAAATGTTTCAGTCACTTTTTCAAGAAATGAATGATTCAAGAGATCTGGGTTATGTGTAATTGTTAGTCATTTTACAAAAATTGTTTTTACTTTGATTCAAAAATCTTCATCTCAAACTTAATTTTGCATGCCGCTTGTTGAAATTAGGAAGTACTCTGCAGATCTACCATCAACACCCACTTTAGTGAAAAACAAACAACCCAAAAACTGCCGTATGGATCCTTTTTTTTTATTATTATTGCATTCATCATTGCGTGGAGCAGAGCACATTCCTGTCATGAATGTACATTGATGTACAGTTTTATTTGTCATCAGTTTTGTCCTTGGACGTAAGCAGGAGCTAACGCTTTTCGTACTTAGTAGGGGGAATTCTTCTAGATACCATCAGTGAACAAAATAGCAATGTCCTCCTTGCTTGAGAAAACGGAGCAATTTTTTTTCCTCCCATCTTATTAAGTTCCTGTACCTTGTCTGTAGTACTGCTGTTCTTTACACTTTCTGCTGAATGCTTTCCCCACCATACTGAGAATTACCACTATTTTGTCTCCCAGTTTCTGGAAAGCCGCGCTAGTGCTGGTTAGAGAGGCATTGATCTATTACGATGAGCAGATGGAGATGTTAAGGTCATATGCAGTTCAAGAGTGAATCATAGGCCTTGATATTATGCATCTCCACAAAGAAGATGATTTACTTTGTCACTGAAAATAAAAGAAGCTAATTTATAGGCTTCTAATACTAAAAGTGCTTTTTAAGCTCATGCGCTTTTGTTCTTGCACCTAAGTTACACAGGGGGGGTAGAAATCTCGAGCTTTAGAGGTTTTGTACAGTGTATTAACTTTTAAAATAAAATCTGTGTTCCAAATGTGTACATTGCAAATAAAATGGTCTCTAAGAAGTACCAGTTGAAAGGAATCACACTAAGTTAATTTATGCAGAATTTAGGAAGAACAACAATGATCTTTGCAGTGTTTCTGTATGTATCTTTACTTTCTTCAGATTTCCTTTATTCTCATTTCTGCCTGGGATATTCTGCATGCTCCTTTTGGCTTTCCTGATCTGAATTTCAGATGTGGTCACATGCTGTTTGGTGCATTTGAAGCAGTATATGGTTAGCGCAGGTCAGGCCATTTCTGCCTTCATCCAAATAGTTCTGAAATCTAATATTCCCTTGATGGGTATCTCTCGTATGTAAAGTGCTTGTTTAAAATCAGAATTAATTTGCCTCTCAGCCTGCCTGATAGATCTTCAATGTGACAAATGGACCAAGTGCTCGTATTGTTCAAATGATGCATCTGTGCGAGTTTGCCTTCAGTGTGCAGAGCAGTTGATTCTCCCCGACTGCTTTTTTACTCCTCACTTTTATCTTCAATGTATGGCCTCATGCCTTATCTATCTCACACTATTCCAAGCCTGCCATGAACACAGACCTGTTATTTTCCTGTCAGTCGTGTCCTTCGTGCTTGTTGCTGAAGTCAGAGTGGCTGGACATCATGACCCCGTGAGATGCAGTAACAACTTGCTGTTTGTGAAATGGCGATGTGGCACGGAGATAGGGTCGAAAGTGACCACTGGTTTTTGGATGCTTAATGTAAGATTAGCCCAGGCATTTTTTCAGGGCATGTAATGCTTCAGAAGGGAAAAGCACAAGTTTAGCATGCGGGTGGAGGAGGGGGAAGACTCTTTTCTGAATAAGACCTTAGAAATAAGACAGGCATGCAAAAAAGGAGAGACACACAATTAGTGGGAAAGAACGAAATGTCAGGTTAGAGTAAAATGCCTTGTATTTCACTGACAGTCTGTGGCAGAGGCAGGTCCGGGAGCCGATTGCCAGGCTAGCATTCAGCTCTTTAAATAGAAGAGCCTTTGCTCCCCCCGTCTTCCTTGCAGTCCCCTCCCACATTCACTGCATAGTTTCAAACTGCTGCAATGAGTGAAGTGGGCATCTGACAGACAACAGCCTTCTTCACATATACAGTCTTGATTCATCCCCGGAGGGAGTTTGCAATGTTCACTGGATGTGGCAGATGTTCTACAGAGTAAACTATATCAGAAACGTAATAACTGTACCATAGTGGATATACTCAAAGGTCGATGCCTTTTTAAGATGGAAGGGGCAGCTGAAAACAAGCTGAAAAACTTCATTTTTGAATCCTTAGAATCACAACCCTTAAAAAACTTAATAATTCTTCCAGTATAGAGAGGGCTTCTGCCTGCAACTTCTTTGAACTTTAGGGAAAAAAAACAAACAAATTGAAAGCGACAAACCTCATGTGGTATTATCTGAGCTGTGATGGTTTTGAACAACAGAGTTGAAATAATCAGATCTGCTGTCCCACAGCTTTTGGAGCTACCAGCTTCCCAAGGCTAGCTATAATCTATAGTTCTCCCTGTAGATCACAATTGGAAAGAGATGTGGCATGTCGCTGAATTAAAGTATTTGCTGGCAGCATGGCAGTAGAGAAGCTGACGCCTATCAGAGCATATTCTTGCCTTATTGTCCCAGGTCTCCCGTCTCCAGCTGCTTAGGTTAAGGCTTTCATGAATGTATGTCATTGGATATAGGCTAGGTGGTTGTCCTGAATGCTGGGGCTGCTGCTGTGTGATACCAGGTCCATATCTGAGAGCTTTTGGTTTTTCAGATGGATCTTTGGATACAGCTGTAAA